ACTGCTAGCTGCTGCCCCCCCCCCAGCATGGGCTCCTTCTCCCTTCTTTGCACTGCCTGTAGCTCTCATCGGACCTTTTGCTGAGCCATTTCAGCCTGCTAAATAGAGAGAAAAACTAACCCATTCAAAATAAAATTAACAGGTTTCTGCCAGGTTAGTTCAGTAGCTACCCATTAGATTGCCTCCGGTAGCCTTGGAAGTGCAGTCCCTTTGCTTCTCTTCTCCATCTCTAAAACAGAATGCTGTCCTATTTCAGAGATCCCTTGTGAGATTTAACATGGGCAAAGAAATTTGAAAATGCCAGATGAAATGCTATAAAACTGTATTATTTTATTCTTTCTAGTATTAATGATAATACCCCACTTTAAATATGGGATTTAGATTTTTATAGTTGTTGGTCACTGAAGGCAGTAAGTCCTGAAAGCGTAGTAGGTGTCAAGAAGCTACTATACAACAATGATATATAGTACTTTCACCATGTGTGACTCTCACAGCTCTGTGAAATTACTGATTGTATGGCTCTAAATTATTAGTGGGCTTAATCATGCATAATCTTTTCTGAAAGTTTTTCAACATTGCTACTGTTATTTTAGTAAAAGGATATCATACTTAATTTGTGCCTTTAATTCTTCTTATCTTAGAAAATCTGTTATTAGCACTCCTGGATTCTCTTTGGTATCTTTGTTATGTTTACATTTGCAAAGTGGCAAGTAATCAGGGAGAGCTACACATTCTGCAGAGGAAGAATCAGTAGCAGATATGGAAATGGAAGACAAGAATAGTTGGAGTGACCAAAAGAGAGCCTTAAAGAAAAGGGACCACAGGGGCCTCTTCCCTGACAGACGAGATCGGGAAGCAGAGAGTTTTGCCTTTAGAATACCATTCCCCAGTGCCTAGTTGAACCTGGCTGCATTATTGCTTACATATTACTTAATGGCAAAAGAAATGGCTGTGAATTTGAAATATCTTGAGACTTGCTTTAAGAAAAGGTGTTCAGAAGAGTTGGAATGCTACTAGGATAGTGCAGAGGGAAAAAAAGTTTCGGAATGCCTTGATTATCTTCTCAGTTCTGGTACTGATTTATATGTAGCCTGGGGCAAGTTAGCCTCTTTTCTTCTTGCTTCCTCGTATGTATAATGAGGATAATTACTGGCCTGCAGTGTAAGCTATTTTTAATCATTGGCTGTGTTCTCATTATCAAGAATGCCATGAAATTAATGTGATAATTCTGTTCAAGTAACATATTCATTTTACTTTTTGTAATGAAGACAATAGACGATGCTTTAACGTGTCCTGTTTTTCCACCCTCACAGTTAGCTATTAAAAGCCTTGATAAAACCAAGTTAAAAGCTGTTGAAACCCTGGACCAGAGCAAAGTTAAGATTATTGACACGGGCTGCAGTGATGCATTTGTGAAACGTGATGACATGAGAGAAGCTCCTGATAGGAGCAAACTAACGCACCGAAGACACACTGTTAACGTGCTGCTTTCAGCAGAGAATGTCAGTGATAAAAGCAGTTTAGCCAGTTCTAGAAACCCAAGTATTGCACAGTCAGAGGACTGCAGTGGTGACTTGCTTTCAAAATACTGACAAGGAAGCGTGAATTTAATGTCAAAAGCTGAAGAAGTAGGTGATGTTAATTTCAGTATCCCTGTGCTGGATATCAAGGAATTCAATGACACTCGCAAGCTATGCGTTCTGGACAGGACGCAAGGATGACTCTTCAGCAGAAACAGAATGTGTCTAGCACTTTTGAAGACTGAATCCTCTGGTTATTTTGGAGATGACAGTTTAGCCAGTTTGTTATTGATCTCAACAAACAGGGATATGTTGAGATGCACATAGCAAAATTACTTTTGTGTTCTACTTAGCACTTATTAAAAAACAATATGTAACAGTAAACCAACCTGTATTGTACTTTTCAGCCACCCCTTTGTTTTTACAGTCTGAATAATTTTGGCATTTTCAGTTTTTATCACTACATTGCATAAATATATATTTATATATATAGATATATTGGATAAATACATATTTATTGCCAGAAGTAATTCAAATGTCTCTATTTTTATTGTAATGTTACAAACCATTATAATTTATATTTCTGTATATTTCAGTAGCTGGGCAAACAACGGTCGATAAAATACGTGACACCATGTTAGAGATTTATACGTGTTGTTAACATGATGGGAAGTAATCTGTGCTTGCAATGCTCCCCTTGTACAGGAGCCAAGATGCTGAGAGAAGGTAGAGAGCGCTTGATGAAGCTGAACTTTGGACTCATTGTTCACAGCCTCATAAAAAAAAAAAAAGGCAGAAACAAGTATGTATAAGGACATGTAATTGTTTTTTTCTCTAAGGCAAATCATGCAAAAACCACACAAATACTCATGATTCTATGCATGGGCAAAACTGATAAGACAAAACTGCTGCTTAGCAGCCTGTTCCTATCTGACTGCTTTTTAAACCGGTGGACTTCCTGATCATGAAAGCTACTGCTGACATCAGTGAGCATTCGTTGGAATAGACCAAATTCTAGACGTGATCACTGCTGAAGAATCAGAAGCTCACAAATACCTATGAGATGGCAACTTAGATTTGGACTTCATTTTCTACTTTTTCAGTTAAAATTTTTTAAAAATGGTTATGATAGGAGAAATGTGTAAATAGCATAAGCCAGGTTTCTAAATGCAATATTTTTTATTTTTGGTTTATCATGCCCAGTTTGCATCTTTATTTCATAAGATATTTTTTATGAATAATTCTGTTTCTCTTAACTGTGGTATTAGTAAACTGCCTGGGAAAGTACAAAGCTGGAGGACATACCAGTGATTTTTTTCAAGTAACTTTTTAACCTGAGAGGTAAACTGTGCAATAAGTGCGCACATGGACATTTGGAGATGAGGGTAATGTGTTTATTTTTCTAATAATTTATGAGTTCATCTGATTTTTCTAATGTGCCTTGGATTTGTGCCAAATGATGGAAAAGAAAAAAACAGTAAAATAATTCTTGAAAAAGCTGTTTGAGTGCTTATTTAAAACACATTTATGCAGTTTTCTTTGCTTTTGTTCCTGTAGGCATTTGAAAATTTCACCTTGTGCCTATGTATAAGTCGAGGGGATCTATTCGAATTTATTTCTCTATGACTCTGTTTATTCCCCCTTCTGTCATATGTTTGTGGATTGCCACACATGTAGTAGTGTGTGCAATAGCTGTGCAGTACAAAATTGTTAGAGAAACTGACCATTTAAAGAAGGGTATTTTACATTTATACAAAGTTTTCTTTGCTGGCCTTGAATTCTGGTTAAAAGCAAATTGTATGATGGGTGTTTAGGTATTGCAAGCCAAAGGGCAAGAGGGAAGAATGTAGGCTGTTTTTTCTTCTTGTAACCCTTAAAAACATGAACTAGAGCAAGTCAGTTGTCCTTACCTATAATAAAAATAAGAATTATTACCTTCAGAATACTAGGCTATGCTGCTTATGAAATATCTAAGATATTATTTGTAAAGTTTAAGATACAAATAAATGTTCATATAACTGATTTCCAGTCTACTTTGTGAGAAGTAATTTAACTTGTATTTTAATTATACCATGCATTTAAATAAAAGACTAATTCTGATCTTAAGACTTTTTGACAATATGGATGAGGAAAAAATCAGTTTATTAGATTTTTGGTACTGGTGGTATCTTGCTACAGAGTAAAAGTACAGATTATACTGCTCTAACTATTGTCTTACAGAACATAAATCAACACGGTGACAGGAAGATCAGTGTCAAGCCAGTTTTGTTAGTCCTTAATAATAGGCCTGGTATGGTTAACTAGCTTTGGAAATAAGTTTTAACATACTGTTGATTAAATACCTTTGAAAACGGTTAGAGAGAATTAAAGAGAAGGTTGTGAGAGTATGTGAACTTCTGCATTGAGTTACTTAGTTTCTATTTAAAAACAAATAGGAACTCCTTATACCTGGAAAACGTAACCTGTTAAATAAAGCACTCCTGATACAGTGTTAAACTAATGCTTGCCTTTGCATTTTTTTCCCCTGAAATAAATGAGCCTTACAGAAAAAGAGTGGCTTACTAAGGCAATTTAATACAGACGTGGTGCATATTACCTACTGTGGTTTCCAACAAAATTTAAATTTAAATATCTAACAAAAATATTTTTAATGTAGAGTTTTTAAGGAAAACTACACATTTGTATTAGAATTAACTTGAATTTTTTACTCTTACAACATCAGCTGTCCTTGTGAACCTACTACTACCTAAATGACCAAATTATACTTCAGTTTTATACAGTGTTCAATCTAAGACAAAATTATATTTCCAGGCATTCTAGATATGTATAAGAAAGCACTTAAATCCTGAACAGTTCCACTGTAATCCTGCTAAAAAGATGCTGCCTAACAAATGATTCAAGTAAATGAAATGGCGTACACAATTGCTTTGACGTGTTTAACCGTGCCTATCATTACAAAAATACCTTAATATTCAAAGATACCATGATAAAAGGCTAAAAAGGCATAGTATTCGAAGGAAGTACCCCTGACAGGTTCCCCCAGCAATTTGTTCTGCAACCATGCTAAAGTCAACTTCAGGACACTATTATCATCTGTCTGCAGAATATATTACTGTACAGTCCAGTTAATCTCCAAAAGGTTAGAAATTAGGATAAAATTTAAGTGTTATTTCTTGTCTTCACAAGTGAGATTTTGGAACAGACTTCCAAGAAGGCAGGAATAAAGCTTACATTGCTGATAGACTGATGGCAAAATTTAATAAATTTAGGAGTAGGAATATGAAGCATGGATGCTTAGCATATATGTATACCCTCAAGGGGAAAATTTTTAAACAATACATGTCATTGTACATTATTGGCTTGAAAATCTTCATGCTGGTAAAAGCTGAAGGAATTCTGTTGTTACAAAGTAACAACTATTCAGTTAAAATGTCCTTTTTTAGCCGCATTCACACAAGGTGAAAAAAGCACCCACTCCTGCTCGCTTTAAACAATTTTATTCTGTCCCCAAAACATGGCATTTGGAATCATACACACTTCTCAAGTGATGTCAGAAAAGGGTTCTTGGGTGGTAGAATGTTTATTGACACAATGTTACAGTATTTATCCTACATAGTTCCATAACCATATTTTTGAATAAAGGCATAGCACAAGTTCAGTTTTATTTGATGCATGCAAGAGTTGCAGATAGTTGAGATAAGTCTTTTTTTTTCAAAATCAGAAACACTCCAGCCATTTGATAAAAATGGAGGTAGTTTAACAAACATACGATACCAAGTGTCTGAACAGTGCTGCATTACACACTTAAACTTGCTTTGTTTTGAGATAGCTTGATTATTTCATGGGGGAACAGTTCAATTAAATGCTGGCTGCAATTTCTTTACACAGATTGCCCAATAAGAAATCCTCCGGTCCAAACTCCAACCAAAACACTTTATTTTCTAAATTTTCAGTAAAGACTTTGGAGCCAGTGAGCTGCTGGATAGGCTTCCTTCATGGACTCAGGAAATCTTGTTTCCAAATGAACTTCTGTGATTTAGACTTAGAGGCAAGTCTTTAAAACCCTAGTTGTTCCCAACTTTGTACTTTCACTCGTCATGTTATGATATCTCCAATAGCAGCAAGTTAAGGGTGCACATGTGCTGAAAGCATAGCTTACACACTGAGAAAGGGGTAACAAAACGTTCACGCTAAGGAAGCAATGGGGAAATCCCACACTGCTCAGGCCTCTGATACTACAAAAATTTAAGTTATAAAATCCCCTTCTCAGATTTATTTTACAGGACAAGTTCATTTGTTGGCCTTTATTAAAAAAAAAAAAAAAGAAGTAAATGTAAACATTTTCAGGTCTTTCTTTCTGCCCGATACAGTATGTTGCCTTTTTTCCAGGCAGTTTGTTTGGCAGACAGTCTTACGGGGTATTTAATAATCATCCTCTTCATCAGAATCCAGTACTTTTCTTCTGTTGAACTAAAATGAAATACATGAAAGGAAAATACAAGGGTCACAGTAAATCCAACATAAAGCAAGCCTTTGAAACTCTACACGTTTGACAGTAAGTACAAAATTTTCAGTGCTTTCTCACAGCATGAATTACTGCAGCTTGCATAGGAGCAGAAGATTTCCCCCAGTGCAACACCCTCTCCTCCCCCCAGTACAATGGTACGGTATAAAAGCAGAGCATTACATAGCTAGTCTAACTGAAATAGATTAATTGTCACGAGTCAAATTTTCCTTGCCTCGTTCTCCTCTTTCTTCCCCAACATTTGCTTCTAGCAAATGCCAGATACAGGATATGGTCCATGACAAATCTTTCATCTGACTTGGTGCAATCTAAGCATCATCTACGTCCCCTCAGCCTCTTTATGGTCACTCACGGGCGCTTTTTCTGGAAACTCACTCCTGTGATAAGGAGAATAGAGTCCCCACATACAGAATTTCTAGGGCCTGAATTATGCTGCAGAACTATGGATAGCTCTGCCATGTTTCTTGCATTTTTCAAGGACAGTATCTTCACAATTGGGCATGTATCTACCCAGTGAAGAATCTCATACGTTTCTCAGTAACATAGCTTCAAATTTCACAGGAGCCTACCAGCAGAACTGTAGCAGAAAAGCAGTTACTAGCACTAGCTATTAACACAGCTAGGCCTATAGCACTAGCTGTTTTCTACTTACCACAGCCAAAAGTACTTTTCTGCTGGTCAATGCACTACTGTGACTGCCTGCCATTTACACTGTTCTCCCTATTTGTCTCGCCAACAGAACCCCGATATCCCCGTGCTAATATCTGCAAATTATCTACTGATTAGGATAGCTATGACTAAATCCCAACACTTATCAGTGTGGGGAAGAGGGTGATAAACAGAAAGCATGTTCTACCCTTAAGTGAAAGGGTGCAATACATGCAATTTTTCTACTCGAGTCATTCGTTTTCATATTGGATATTTCATATTTTCCTAAACAAAATTGCATTTATGAAATGACACTTACCTTTACCGTTGTTTTCTTTTCTGTTTGCTGACTCACTTTTTCAAGTATTTCTATCAAACCCTGTTCTGACACCTAGGAAAGCAGAACAAAAGCACATAAACGCATTCTGAGAGCTGCTTAGCATCAAGTAACTGAGTTACGCTTCCTCTTTGTGTAAATGGCGTTTGGCTGACGAAATGATATAGCATACAGTATTTAGAAACTCTCAGCTATCTCTCCCAGTCAGGTAATTTACAGATAATAAAAACATCAGATATGCTTTGTGAGAGTATTAGGTTTGAAAACTGACAGATGTGAGAAAGGGAGAATTAGAGAAACACCACTCACCTTTCCAGGTAGCTGGCCAAATCTTGCCATCTGTATCAGATAATTCTCCACTGCTTTTGCTTTATCTGGTTTCACAAGTGCCAAATTGCTTACTGCAACAAAAACAGGCTCTGTTCATTTTACTTTAAAATGAATAACTTCACCAGTACTAAAAAAGTGACAAGTGCCGCTATAAAACTATCTTATTCATTGTCACTTTCATTCAAAATATTTGTTTGCAATTAGTTTAACTATTTTTCTCTCACTGTGATTATCACTATTAATTCAATAAAGTATTTGATTAAAAATATTCAGATGTCAGTTAACGGCATCCCCACCAATCACTGATATTATCATTTGAAAAGCTGTAATAGTTTTACCTTTCCACCAATTATAGTATTTTTCTAGTTTGCCCTCTATACAGCCACGTAAGTGTCTGATTTAAGCAGCACAGGAGTGTAGTAGAAGATAATTTTTAAATTAGAAAATTACTTGAATACTTACATCTTGCACGAGCTGCTTGATCTAGAACTTGAGCTAAAATAGTATTTCTTATCTCTGCTTCCCTGTAATGAAAAATTAGTTACACATTAGAAGTGAGATTTCAAATACTTAAAATAATATGCACAAAACAGCCAAGTTTACAGAAGACTCAATTCCCATAAGTGACTTTTTGGAGTCCCTTCTGACCCTACATTTATAGGGTCTCTTTCATAGCATTTTCTGTGAGGGGTAGCTCTACGTATTTTGAAGATAAGGTTAAGTAACTGACATCATTTTCCAAAAAAAAAAAAAAAAAAATCAGGATAGAGTTATAGGTTATTTACATTTATAGCTTATTACAGTTTACTGATATATTTTGCTAGAAAGACACACGCTAACCACTTTAAAGATTCAAAGATTCTGCATTCAGTTCCATGTGCAGCTTCACCAAAGGCAGTGTTTTTTAGAGCAGGCATAAGGAACAGCCCACGCAACTGAAAGACTCAACCAGAAATTGACATTTACTTAACATTTTTCAACAAGTCTTCATACACTTTCAACAGCTGACTGACAGTCTGGGTTGCAAAACCAGAATTTATGTATTTCAGTTAACAAACTTTGACTATGCGCTCTCACCTCAAGCTCTTGCAAAAGCCTGGCTTTTTAATTTGTTTAATTTCTACTTAGTGAAAATTCTAGATGTTGTGCCAAACTAAGCTCTGACACCAAGCATTTTGTTTCAGCTTAACTGCAACAGAAACCCCAGAAAAATGAAATCGACTAGGAGAGCATGTTCCCATAGCACCCACAGAACCAAACCTCACTCAGAAAAAACTCCCAACTTCTTTGGCTTTGGCGGGAGTTCTGCTTCAGGAATAAGCTAAAGCAAGAATAGCCAGCCTTCCAAACCATCTTTCAGGATTTTCTCATGACCAACACTCACTAACACTGAAAAGCTAAGGTTCCTGAGCCCAAGAAACAGGTGACTGGTGGGAGTGACAAAGACTCCCCAAAGCATCCCATTGTATCTCTAAGGGTCTCGAGGCTATCACATTCAGCTGAAACCAGAGGTAAAAGTGAGCAGCTCCTGCTGGTTTTCATAGTCAGGATGCAGACTGCCAGACATACAGGCAAACAGAGCTAATTGTGGATCATTCAACACGGTCATGGCACGGGAGCCACACTTGGACTACTCAAAAATCAGATGTTAGTCACCCGTGGATTGCATCTTTCACTTTTCCATTTATTTATTGGTGTTTTTTCCAACAGCAACAGAATTTCATTTGAGTATTCCCAAGAAGTTAAATAGTCAAAACAGTTAGTACCAGGCTCAAAGCTAATAGATTTAGAACACTATTAAAAAAAAACAGCTCCCATTCGTACCTCTGTTTTGCCTCCTGTTGTGATGGATCACCAGAAGGATCCTAAAGGGTAAGAACAAGATAAATGATTAACATCATTCCAAAAACATTCCACATAGGACCACAAACTTAAATATTCCAGCAGAGATTAACATAAGCCAAACCTGCCTGGCCATGGACTAGATCCTGAAAAATAAGAATGGGCAGCCCTAGTAAATAAATATGCAATACTGGTGGTTGCTCTCTTTACGTTACAATAACATAAACTAGCGTAATGACTAGTGCTACTGGATACGTCCACAGACTGCTGTAGGACATAAGAGGCCTCCTCCTTAGGTTTAAGGGAACAAGCTTTCCTGAGGCCTAGAAAACAGCCAAAAGCATTAAACCTGTTAAGGTCAGCTAACGACAGATAAAATTCAACATAATGGTTCATATTTACCGATATACAAGAAAATACAAGCCTAACATGATATTTTGGGATTAAAATAGGCAGCTGTAGCAAAGGAAAAAAAAAAGCAAGCAAACTGAACTTCATGCTGTACCTGCAACTCAAAGTTTACAGGCAACACTTTAAAGCATAACAGGAAAACCACAAAGTGAAGAAACAAGGCTGAGCACAAGTAGGGAGTAGAGAACAGGGACCCCCCCCCCCGGAGGAACAAGGAGAGAAACCGACAGGTTTCAACTCTAAACGCATGAACGATCGAAGAAATGACAGCGATCCACGCAACCGTGAGCGGCACGGAGAAAGGCCGGGGCGGGGGGCGGCTGGGCGCCGGGAAACGCCTCCTCACCCGCGGAAACGCCTCCTCACAGCGGCGCCCACCCGCTTCGCCGCCCGTTTCATCGCGT